GATAGGCTCTGAGATTTTGATCCTGAGGTCCTAAATCATTCCCTAAGGGTGTTGGCTTATGATTTGGCTCATGATTTTTACTTAACTTTGCCCTCCTTCTGCCTCCACTTTGATTATAGGGTTTTTTAAAAGTATACAAAGACTAGTGAAAGGGCCTACAAGATTACTCTTGTTATCGAAGGAACTTTTTAAAAATCAAGGAAATAGACTCTTTGAGTAACCATCTGTGTCATTTCTTTTTGTTAATCTCTGAAGAATGGGAGAATGAGATACTCTGAAATAATTAGGGGCCTGGTGTTAACATTGAAAACATTTATCAGCAAACAAGATGCTACCAATGTCTTTCATGTGTAAAGTAGTCTCCATCTTGATGACATGTTTGAATTGCACTTAACATCTGTATTTTGGGTTTTTGGTATGTATGTCTTATTGTTAGTATGTCTTTCTGGGAGGATGTTACAGGAAAATGCATGTGGAGAGATAGTGCTCTAAGCAGTTGAGCAAGAGAATGTGATAAGCAATTAAATGATCAAAGCAAAAAAAAAAGAGTGGAAAAATTGTCCCTATGTCAAGAATGCTGAACCATGAAATATGTAGGATACCTCATAGATCATGAAAAGGAGGGCATTGATAGATTAGAACTTGAGGAAAGAAATGCTGAAGAAGAGTTAATTAGGAAGAAGAGACAAATTATCAAATTTCGTAATAAAGTACCTTCACCTTGTTCCAGAAAGAAAATAAGTGTTTTTAAAGTGGAAAAACAATTCATAATGAAATAATTAGTTGAAGTGTTGTTTTGGTCTCCCCTCTTCAGTTGATTGGGTTCTTCATTTACTTGGAAACAGACTTAAATGCTGATCACTTTGCTGACGAGGCCATAGGTAGATTTGCAAAACAGGGAGATATTACCATGAAGGAAAGAATAAAGGGCCATCCAGACAACTCTTAATAATTTCCTGACTGAAAACATCCCTAATTTTCAGGCATAATCCAGATGATCCAGAATTTTCTACAAGTAGAGCTATTACTACAGCTGACAAAATGCCAGTGTTACTCAACTCTTCATTATTTATGAAATGTTTATGATTTATGTATCTTTTAAAATGATAAAGCCTTGCAGAAAATTATGAGAACTCAAAACACTTACTGATGACAATAAAGATCACAGTTTGCACAATATAGATTGTTGTTATATGCTAACAAGTCGCCTGCAACTCATAGTGATCATCTATGTGCAATAGCTCTGAACCCTACCCTAGCTTGAACCAGTCTTACTGACTGACTCATCTACCCCCATTACTCCAATCCATCCCATTCAGAGTCTCTCTCCTGCTTTGTCCCTCCATCCTTCCAAGCTTATTGCCCTTCTCCAAGCACTGTTCCCCCTTCTGGCCATATGCCCAAAGTATATGAGATGGAGCTTCAAAATCTTTCCCTCCAAAACAGATCTGTTTGTTCTCATGGTATGTTCAGTACTCTTTTCCTGCACCATGACTCACTCAAAGGCATTGATTCTTCTTCTGTCATCCTTAGTCATTGTCCAGCTTTCTGATGCATAGTAAGTAATTGCAAAGACCATGGGCTGGATCAGGTGCACCTTAGTCACACCATTACTTTTCAGCACTTTGGAGAGATCCCTGACAGTGAACTTCCCCAGTGCAATTCATCTTTTGATTTCCTGACTGCTGGTGCCAAGAGTGTTGATTGTGGAGCTGGACAAGATAAAGACAGTCTCAATTTCTTCTCCATCTCTCAAGATGCTGATGCTGCCAGTAGGCTAGTGGTGAAAATCTCTTCACTTGATATTGAGCTTTAATTCATATTGAAGGCTGCAGTCCTTGACCACTTGCAATAAATGCTTCAAGTCCTCCTCAGTTTTGGCAAGCAGGATTCTGTCATCTGTGTATCACATGTTGATGAGTCTTCCTTCAGGCCTGATGTAACACACCTCCTCATAAAGCCCAGCCTCCTGAATGATCTGTTCTGTATATAGATTGAAAAGGTAGGGACACAGGATGTATCCCTGATGCATGCCTTTCCCAATTTTGAACCATATATTGTTTCCCTGCTCTGTTCTGAGGACTGTTTCCTGGTCTTGCTTAGGCTTCACATAAGCACAGTCAAGTATTCTGGGATTCCCATTCTTTTCAAGGTTAGCCACATGTTGTGATCCATACAGTCAGAATGCCTTTTCATTGTCAATGAAATACAGATAGACATTTCCTCTGGTAATCTTTACTTTTGGCTTAGATCCATCTGACATTGGCTATAATGTAGTTCTCTGTCAGTGTACTGTTCCAGTTGTTTTTGGATGATCTTCTCCAGGATTTTGCTTGTGTGTGATATCGTTTGATAATTTTCACACACTGTCAGATCACCTTTCTTTGGAATGAGAATAAATATGAATCTCTTCCAGTCAGTTGGCCAGGTAATTGTTCTCTAGATTTGTTGGCACAACCTGGTGAGAGTGTCCAGGGCAGCATCTGTTTGTTGAAATATGTCAATTAGAATGCCTTCTAAACCTGGGTCCTTGATTTTTGCCAGTACTTTCAGAGAAACCTGAACTTTCTCCTTCATCACCATTGCCCCTTGATAGTATGTTATTTCATGAAATTCTTTTGTGTCAACTAATTCTTTTTAGTACAGGTACTCCTTTACAACGACACCAGTAAGCAGATTTGTGACATGTGGAGAAATATTGGAAGTTGTTAACTATTTAATTTTATGGATCCACAATTAGTTCCCATAGAAGCAGTAGTAGTAGTCAAGAAATCCAGCAACAGAGTGACTGTTCAGTCTGCTGGACCTCTTTCAAGTGCTGAAAAGCAGAGGTGTCACCTTGAGGATTAAAGGGCCTCTACCACGTCATATTTTAAGTCACTTAGTACATATGTGAAAGACTGAAGATGAGTTGATGCTTTTGAATTATGATGTTAGCCAAGAATATAGAATATGCCATGGATCTTTGGGGCAAAAAACAACTCCTTTCTGTTAAGTCCTCCTCCAGATATTTTTCCAGAGGGTGTAAATTGCAAGAGAAAAGATTGCATTTTGTCTTTCTCCTGTGGAGAGGTTGGTGAATTTGAATCGCCAGAGAGGGCCCACATTTAGATCAGCAGCATTGCTCCCTATGGACTGTACCACCAGAGCTCCCTACCAATTGCCAGAAGAACAAATAAATCTGTCTTGTAAGAAGTGCAGCCGGAATACCTGTTAGAGGTTTGGATGACAAGAGTTTGTCTCAAATACTTTGGGTATATGACCAGGCAGAGACCAGCCCCTGCTGAAAGGTATTGTGCTTGCTGGAAGTTTATTAAGAGAAGGATGCTCATGGAGATAGACATAATAACTAACAGTGGACTCCGCTATAGCAATTGTTGGCAGGATGACACGGGGTTGCTGTGAGTTGGAACCAACTTGATGGCATCTGACACCAATGATGTGTGGGTTTCACAGAGGTCAGGTGCTTGACTGTTACTGTCACATGTCATCGAGTTGGCTATGACTCATAGCAACATATGCACAGTAACTCTGAACACTGCTCTATCCTGAACCAATCTCACTGTCTCTGACACACAAACCCCCATTACCCTCGTCAGTTCATCTCATCTGGGATCTTCCTCTCCTGTGCTATCCCTCAACTCTTTCAATCAAAATGTTCTTTTTCAAAGATTGGTCCCCTCCTGGCTCTATGCTCAAATTATGTGAGATGAAGTCTCAAAATCCTTGCCTTCAAGGGACAGGTTGGCTTCACAGTCTACAGGATAGACCTGTTAGTTTCTGGCAGTCCGTGGTATGTTCAGTGTTATTCTCCAACACCACAACTCAAAGACATCAATTCTTTCTTCTATCCTTCTTGGTCATTGTCCACCTCTCTTATGAAAAGCATGTAATTGCAAACACCATGGCCTGGACTGACATCGTTGCTCTTCAGCACTCTGGAGAGGTCCTTAACAGCAGAGTTACCTAATGTAATTCGTCTTTTGAATTCCTGACAGCTGGTGCCAAGAGTGTTGATTGTGGAACCAAGCAAGCTAAAATTGTTAACAATTTCAATCTCTTCTCTAGCATGGTGCTGCCATTTGGCCTAGTGGTGAGAATCTTAGCTTCAATCCATATTGAAGACTACAGTGCTTGACGCTCTTCAGCAAATGCTTCAGGCCCTCTTCAATTTCAACATGTAAGGTTGTGTCATCTGCATAAAGCAGGTTGTTAATAAGTCTCTCTTCCAATCTGATGCCACATTTCTCCTTATAAAGTCTAGCCTTTCGAATGATCTGTTCTGCATACAGAGTGAAAATATATCAATAAAGCCTGGCAGTTCAAATGCACTAGCTGCTCTATGGGACAAAGATGTAAACAGCCAAGGAAAGGAAACCCTGTGGCATAGCTTCCTTTGTTCTACAGGGTCACCATGAGTTTGAATGGAATTACTTCAGTGGCAGTTGCTTTAAATTTTTGTTTGATGTATGTATACATTAAAATATGTTTATATGTAATGTGTCTAACCCCAGATAAAGGTAGAATTTATAAAGTTACTGATAATGAGAAATAGCAATAATGAAAATTGAAAACACAAGGGACGAGGGGAGCTCTGGTGGCCTAGTGGCAAGAAGCTGCACTGCAATCCCAGAGGAACACGGTTCGAATCCACCAGACGCTCTGCCGGAGAAGGAGGCGCAATATCCTCCTGTACCAGTCAGATCTGATTTGACGGTACACGTACACAAAATTTTAAAAAAAAAAAAAAAGAAAACACAAGGGACAGTTGGTGTTTGACTTGCATCCGAAGTGATGTACTGCAGCACTGTGGGAGTGGAACCCTATTGGAAGGCAGAGACACTTTTTACTGTGGTACTAGGCTCTTCTCATTATTTGTACTCAGTTACTGATCCAGCAGCAGTGATGGAGATTTGATGTGTGGTAATAAGCAGCATTTTTGATCTTAAACATTTTAAAACTTTCTAACTCATCAGAACTTAAGAATGCTTGTTTTCTAGGCTCATCAGCAGAGCAGACGAGCAGACCGTTTACTAGCTGCAGGGAAATACGAAGAGGCTATTTCTTGTCACAAAAAGGCTGCTGGTGAGTATTTTTTCTCCTATGTTTTACCACTTAGTTCTACACAGTGCAGTGTGACGTCTCACATTTTCCCAATGTAGCAGCATTTGCTTTGTGTGTGTGTTCTGTTTTCCAGTCCTCTATTTCTTGGCCTGATTGATTTTTTTTTTAAAAGAAATAGAGTTTTAAGAATGAAATTAGGCAACAGTGAATGAATAATCTTTTAAAAAAATTAACTGGAGCAGGGGTAGGGAGGAAAATATGCAATGGTGAATGAATGAAAATCCAATTTTTCTGTAAACTTTTGTTAAAATCACAGTTAAAGAAAAAGAAGAAATACTGAGTTTTAAAAATTGAGAGCAATTTTGTTTACCCAGGATCTCTTTAGACTTTACTATCAATGAAAGTCACCGTTGATAATGTGTCCTTTGCCTTGGGAGCCTCTTTTGTACACATTGGTTTCAAATGGCTAAGTAATAAACCAAAATGCCTTAGAGAGGACACATTTTACTCTTGCTGCATCTAAAATGGTTGTTGTTGTGTTAGTTGGAATTGACTTAGCAGACTCTACAGTGTGTTTTCAGAGGCAGTTAATGGCTGGGGAAGAGATTGTCTATCTTGCTCTTGCAGAGCAGCTGGTGGATTCAAACCATGTGCCTTCGAGATTGCAGCGCAACTTCTTAACACTATGCCACCAGAGCTCAAAATGGTTGTAGGCCATATTTTTTAAAAAATTAATTTGGTTTTTGAATGATGCTTTATAAATCAGTGATTTTCATACAGTATTAGTTTTTTAACATTATGTAGGCTGTCTTTCTTAAAGCAAGCACTAGAATTTTTCTCAGGGGCCTTGGTGGCTTAAGTAAGAAGTTACGCTAGCAACCTAAAGGCAGGGTGTTGGGATCCACCAGCCGCTCTGCTTGGAAGAGATGGGTAATCTCTCATGTGATTTCCAGCCTCTGAAAACTCACTAGAGGGCGGGCTATACTCTACAGCAATGAAGAAGTTTCCAGCCAAGTTGAGAACATCTGTCTAGAAGGCCCAGATGAAAAGATCCTGCTTAGCCAAAAAAAAAATCCTTCATTTCTATAGAGTTGAAACCTACTTAGAGCCCACATTGTAGTGAATTTTCAGAAGCTGGAAATTGCATGGAGAGACCAGGAACCAGGAAATTAAAAGATGAATTGTATCGGGAAAGTCTGCTGTCAGAGACCTTTCCAAAGTACTGCAGAGCAGTGATGTCATTCTGGAGGATAAGGTATGCCTGATCCAGGCCATAGTCTTTAGAATTACTATGCTATGCTGTACTGGACAATGACTAGGGATGATAGAAGAATTGATGCCTTTGAGCTGTGGTGCTAGTTAAGAGTATTGGATATACTGTGGACTGCTAGGAGAACAAACAGGTGCATTCTAGACAGGGTGAGACCATCCTGCTCCTTGGAGTCAAGGATTTTGAAGCTTCGTCTGATATACTTTGGACATGTTGCAAGGAACAACCAGTTCTTGGAGAGAGACATCATGTTTGGGAGGGTGGAGGGACAGCACAGGAGAGGAAGACTTTTGATGAGATAGATTGATTCAGTGACAGGGTAACAATAAAATTGGCAAAGAATAGAGCATGAAATAGGGCTTCACTAGGAGTCGTAGGCGACTCAACACAAAACAACAACAACAGATAGATGTTTATAGTGACCCAGTGAACAATGGATCTGAACCCTGCTCTGTGCCATTTTGACATACTGGAGCCCACTATTACAGTCACTGTGTCATTCTATCCGAAAGAAGGTCTTCTCTTGCTCTAACCCTCCACTTTTCCAAGCCTGATGTCCTCTTCTAAGGACTGACCCCTCTTAACAATATGCCCAAAGTCTATGAGATTAAGTTTCACTATCCTTGCCTCCAAAGAGTCCCATGGTTGCACTTTCCCCAAGACATACTCGTTTTTCTTTCTGACAGTCCATGGGATATTTAGGCTAGTAGGATGAAGACAATCATACTCTTTTGTTTTTTTTTTGTGATTTGAGTGAAAATTTACAGAGCAAATTAGTTTTCCATCAGCTATTCATACACTTTGTGTGTGTGTGTGTGTGTGAGTGTACCGTCAAATCAGATCTGACTGGTACAGGAGGAGATTGTCCCTCCTTTTCCCGGCAGAGCATCTGGTGGATTCGAACCGTATGCCTCTGGGATTGTAGTTGCAGCTCCTTGCCACTAGGCCACCAGAGCTCCCCTACACATTTTGTTTTATAACATCAGTTACAGTATTGACAATTGTACTTTCCCCCCATTTCTCCTTGAAGGTTTTTTTTCCATCGGTCCTTTTATTTTATCCCATCGTGCCTTCTGGGCTTTCTTATTGTTGTTATGTGCATTTCCTACAACTCACAGCGACCGTGTGTACAACAGCTCTGAAGCCTGCCCTATCCTGAGTCAGTCTCACTGACTCAGATATACCTATACCCCTTATTGCCCCAGTTACTGTATCAAACCATCTCATCCAGGGTCTTCCTCTCCTGCGCTGCACTCCACCCATTGAGCATGATGCTCCTCTTCAAGCATGGCCCATCCTGGCCTCGTGCCTAGAGTATGTGAGATGGAGCTTGAAAATCCTAGCTTTTAAGGAGAAACTTGGTTTCACCCTCTTCAAGACAGACCTGTTTGTTTTCTTGGTGTTCTATGTTATGTTCAGTACTCTCCTCCAGTACCACAACTCAAAGGCGTCAATTCTTCTCTCTCCTGAGTCGTTAGCTCTCTTGATGATACATACCAAGTAATTGCAAAGACCATGGCATGGATCAGGCACACCTTAGTCTCTAGACTGACATCATTGCTTCTCAGTACTCTGAAGTTGTCCCTGACAGCAGATTTTCCCAGTGCAGTTCGTCTTGATTTCCTGAGTGGGCTTTACACTTAAGCTGTTGGTGCTCCTTTGTCCTTATGTGGTTCTGAGTGGGCTTTACACTTAGGCAGTTGGTGCTCCTTTGTCCTTATGTGGTTGGTTATCTAAGGAGTGAGTTACTTAAAAGTGTTATTGGTCATTTGGTCACCCTATAAGACCTACCTGAAAGCTGACCCAAAGGGGTGTTTTCTTCCAGGTCAACCATATTGTTTTCTTGGCTGCCTACTGTCTTTCCTGTGTGACTTTATTGCTGAAGTGAGTACTCTGGTGGACATTGGTTTGGATAAGTCTTTGCTTAGATGATTTGACCTATAAGTTGGCAATTGTTAGAGAAACTTAAGTCTTACACTGAAATAATTACACTGAAGTGTATCTTATGTTTGCATTGGTGTCTGCTGTTAGTCTAAGCTTACAGTGTTAGATTTTTATGTGCCTTAGAGGAGGCTGGAGGTTCAGGTTTTCAAAGTCACATTGAAGGAGATTGTCTTTGTCCCGAGGAGCAGCTGTTGATTGAAACCTCCTGCCTTTGGGTTCGCAGCATAACCTCCTCACCCACCAGCATGTGCCTAGGCCACTGGAGCTCCTTAAGTGTATAGTAGGTGAAATGTATGATTGTTTCGTAGTGCATTAAACTTAGCAACCAGTGCTTTTAAGTTATTCTTAAATATTTTCTTACCAATCTAATTGTTTGTATTTATTGTGCAGTGTACTCCTCTTACTTCTAAAGAAGCTGTTAATGTAGATGAATACCTCAGTAGAAAGATAGATTCCATCTCATGGCCTAACATGGTCATGGTCACACATACATAATGTGTTAAAAAGGAGAAGCAAGCTAGCATATGTTGTGCATTGCATAGCATTGTAAACAAACAAAAAGTTCTATTAGATCACTTTTCTGTCTGATGGCTTAAACTAATATTGGGCATTAAATGTACCATCATCCATTTCTCTGGATTGAAATTCTGTGATAGTCTCAGGACTAAAAAAGGTGAGGATAGCCTTTTAGATCAACTAGCTCTGATTATAGAGATGCAACTGAAGTTTGACTATGTGCTGCAGAACTAGAGTGGTGAAAATTGATGTGGCTGAAATGAACACTTTTTAAATTGACCCACTTTTAGAGCTTGTGAAAGATGTTCAGGAGTTGTGGATTCTGAATGGACGAGCTTAATATTTGGAAATCAGTTTAGAAGTGTGACAGGGAAAGGCCAGGTACCTGACAAAGACTTGTGAGAAGGCAAGCATGAAATGAGAAGGCTTCTAGTGTTTTATAAATGAAAATAAAGGGATTACTTGATTTTGTTTGCCTTTTGGGGAAAGATGGGTCTACTCTCTAGGTAGAAAGTGACTTGTTGTTGTTGTTATGTGCCGTCGAGTCACTTACAACTCATAATGACCCTATGTA